ATTTGTCTCTTGAAATATTTAGCTACCTAATTACAAATACAATTAGTATTTTAAAAGATCTGGTTTTTAAACCAATCTTTTGCTGTAAATCAAAGGTTCTTCTATGACTGAACTCACTGATAGAAATCTATATACACTTTCTTGTATAGACTAAAGTTTGTAGTTTCACTTTCATTTACAGTTTAGTAAAAATTTAGACATATGTAATACAGACTTAGTGTGGAATCTGTAATGTAGTACAATGAATTAATGTGGTTCTCCCATCCATAGCCTCCTATTTTGTGATGAAGTATTTATTGTATTAAGGAAATAGAATTAGGGTGGGATATAGGCCACTAGCAGCCTATATAAGCTCATGGAAGCTCAGTGCTCACTCTTGGAATGCCAGCTCTCCTGGGACACAGCATCCAGCTGTGGTGCAAATTACAAATGCAAGATGCTGGCCCTTCACTCACCAGTCTATGCAACTCTTGCCCACATCACCCACAGTCATGTGAGCCATTTCCCTGATGGTTTTTGAGTTCCTGGAAGACCTTTCAGTGAACACAGAAACCAAAAGACATTGAAAGAACTGAATTAAGGAAGAACAGTTAATGTCAGAAATAGTGGAGTGATACTCTTGGTACCAACCAGCAGTCAGAAAATCAAAAGACAAATTGCTTTCAAATCCTGCTACACTGCTGTGGTGGTCAAGACAGCTTGGTACTGGTACAAGGACTGACACATAGATCAATGGAATAGAATTGAGAATCCAGAAATCAGCCCATCTACCTATGGTCAACTGATTTTTGACAAGGAGATGAAATCAGTTAAGTGGGGAAACCACAGCCTTTTTAACAAATTGTGCTGGCAAAATTGGAAAACTATCTGAAGAAAAGTCAAGCAAGATCCACACCTCACTCCATACACAAAAACCAACTCAAAGTGGATCATGGACCTAGGACTAAAACCAAGAACTATAAACTTCATTTAAAAAAAAAAAGATTCATTTTTGTGCATGGACCATCAAATCAGGTCTGACTGGTACAGGAGGAAATTGTCCCTTCTTCTCCAGCAGAGCATCTGGTGGATTCGAACCGTGCACCTCTGGGAGACTATAAACTTAATTAAAGAAAAGCTTGGAAGAACTCTAGAAGTCCTAATCCACAACATAAACAGTCTTCCAAGCATCCTGAAAAATCTACAACCAGGAGAGGATAAAATAGATGAATAGGACCTTCTGAGAATCAAATCCCTATGCACATCCAAAAACTTCTCCAACAGGATCAAAAGGGAAGTCACAGACTGGGAAAAATATTTGGTAATGACATGTCTGATAAGGGACTTATATCTAGAATTTATAAAATACTCAAGCACCACAATATAAAGGTAAATGACCCAATTGAAAAATGGGCACAGGATATGAACAGACTCTTCACCAAAGAAGACATTCAGATGGCCAACAAGCACACGAAGAAATATTCAAAAGCCCTAGCTCTAAGAAATATGCAAATCAAAACAACTGTGAGATATCATCTCACACCAGTAAGAATAGCAAAATTTAACAAAACAGCAAACATCAAATACTGGAGAGGTTGTGGAAAAACTGGAACCCTTAATCACTGTTAGTGGGAGTGTAAAATGGTGCAACCACTGTGGAAGGCTGAATGGCGCTTTCTCAAAAAGCTGGAAATAGAAATACCATTTGACCCAGCAATTCCAATACTGGGAATATACCATAAAGAAACCATAAGGCCACCCAAGCAGATATATGCACACCCATGTTTATTGCTACTTTGTTCACAGTAGCAAAGAATTGGAAACAACCCAAGTGCCC